CCCACCCTTAGAGGATGGCAAAAGCACCTATAAGCAACAAATGATACACATGACAGACTATTACATTTTTATTATGATGAATATGCACGAATTTTTTCAATTAATGTAAAATATAATTCCAAAGAACATATTAATTTATTCCTAACTAGTTATGAGCATGAAGGTGAAACGACCAAAAATTTAAATTTAACATGTGAATGAGAATAAATTTGGTCATGTTATAATGATCACGTTGACGCTTTTATTTTCAGAAGACTAAAAAAATCATGATGTGTTGATTGTATGAGTAATGAATGTAAGTAGTCAAGGACATTGCTTGTTATTTATTGCTCGAATGAGTAATGAATGTAAGCAGTCAAGGACATTGCTTGTTATGTATGTTATTATATGAATTCCAATATCACGCATGCAAATGAATCGATAATGGACAGTCTCTTTTAACGGTGCCAAAATCCATGATCGATTAGCATCCTTAACCATTGCACTAGAACAGCAGACTTAGAGTCATTTTCTTACTTTGACAACCACTTCAGGTGATATCTCCCCTCGAACGATATTAAATCAGTCACACTTCAATTTTCTAGTTTAGCTGTGAATATTTCTCATGCCTATTTGTATATTGTGTGATAAATAGTCGTTACATAGTTAAGTTATGTTTAGTTTCTTTCGTTCAAGTTCGTGTGTATGTTTTTCTCTTTTATTTGTTATATTGTTCAATTGAATTATCGCTCTTCCGCGTCTTATATTATTTAATTACCTTGCGTTTATGGTTTTTTAGAAGCCACTTTGTTATCTACGAGATGAGTGTTAGTCTCTTTTTTGGATTTTTGCCTTTGTCAAACTATAAAAGCAGTGTCATATTTAAACAGCTTAGACTATTGTTCCCTCAAAAAAGGTGAAGTTAATCAGAGTTGGCAAGCCTTAGACATCACCGCATTCTGCTTTTACAAGAAGACACGTTGCAAACTCGACTTCACCGTTTGTTCCTATATTCTGCACACAACGACAAGGTTGTGTTTTACTGACTTAATGTTCTGAAGTTTTAATAATTTAAAGAAGTTATATAGTAATTATTTACGTTATGATTATGTGCAAGATTACACTCACTACAAGGTGAATTGATATTGATACATGCCTATATTTTATTTTGACAAGCACAGTTTATTCTATGGTGAAAGATGTTCAACTGAAATGAAATTATTTTCTTCCTTAAAGAAGGAGAGATGTGTGTCCGTAATCGATTGTTTTGCGCGCACGATGTTGAAAGTCACATAAAAGAACAAATAATACGCTAAAGCTTAGGAAGCTAATTCTAACCAGAAGTCATGAAACAGACACAAACATGTTTCGTAATCTTTTCATCTGACGTGAGGAAAAAGAAAATGTGATTGGAAGGGAACAAAATTAGTAGAGTATACAACAGTCCCATGATCACTCGTTCCAAAGAAAATACTCTCACCTACTAGACCCTGAACATTTGAAAAGATTAAGTCAGTATTACGAGGAAAACGCTTTGAAGAATTAAAAGTGTTTGGAATGTAAGAAAGACTGTTTCTTCTACCAACTTTTTAAATTTACATCTTGTTTGTCTGAATATGGACTTTTCAATCCTTATTGGTTGCATTAAAATCGTCACTAATGATAGTATTCTTTATTAATAAAAATGGAAGAGTTCATTCAGATCTTTCCTAATTTTTACACGAGTAAATCCCGATGACCCCTTAAAAATATAGACCGGCACTGCCAGATTATATACTGACCCGATTGAAAGAATTAAGACGAGTTCAAAATGTTTACTATATGAGAAAAGGATATAACATCGACAACAGTTGATTACGAAAATGTGAATCTTGATCTGATATTATTGTTGTTGGTGCATTATATCGATATATGTACTGACTAAATAATGCTTGTGCTGTCGTTTGTCCGGAACAATCTGGCAAGGGCATTGCTGTTATCCATCTAATGAAATAGTCAGTAATACATAGGGCATATTGGTTGTTAGAGGATGGCATATAAATTAGTTGAAGTTTGGTTGTTCCATGTTTTCGAGGCTTTAATTTATATAAGACATCATCTTGTAACATATATGAAGTTTTATGCAGATTTTGTTGTTTGCTATATTTTATTTTGTGCAGCTTAATCTTTTGTTTGTTCGATTTTTATTTGTGTTATATCGACATGATTAGGTGTATATCTTTGTAACCGTGTTACTGTTGCATAATTATGAGAAGATATAGGAACATGAATTTTTATGGTAGAATCATTTTGTTGTAGTATTTATTTTGCTATTGTACGCGTTGTAACGGCAGCAACTCTATCTAGAGTTTTAACAATAACTAACGCCGATTTCGGCTATTCATCTGTAACGATTGAACTAATACTGTATTCGTTTTAGAACAATTCAGCGTCATCAGCATCGATTGAGTTTCGTGACATATAATCTTGTAAACAATTGTGACAACCTTTCATGTGGATAACTTGCTCAGTATTGTATTCTTACAAAAGAATTGCGATACGATCAACTCTTCTGTTCTTCACTGTTCTATTCATCATATTACATAATGATCAATGGTCAGTATAAAGTATGATATTTCTTCCCAATAAATATGATCACATTCTCTGTACGCATACTCAAATGGTTAAGGTTTCTTGTTTAATTGTACCATACTTTCTCTGCGTGGTTGTCGTCTATTGAAAATGATTCTTCATTACTGTTTTCGTGTAACGTTCTGCCGATACCAACCTTAGAAGCATCTGTTGTCAGAATAATTAGTTGAGTATCAACAGAAAAATCAAGAAATAAGGGTTTGGTGGTTAGCTGTTGTTTCAATTCACGAAATGCGTGTTGTTGTGGTTTTTATTTTTGTTTATGTTTATCGGACTCTGTAACGGGATTTGTCAAAACTCACTTTTCATGTCTAATTTTATGAAACACCTACCTGTATCCTCCAGCCGATGTTTGTATTGTCTGTTCCATATTCGGCAGAGGATGATTATCTTTAATAGTAATATTGTTTAATTTCTTATAATCGACAACTATCCTCCAAGTTGCATCCTTCTTTGCGGTAAGTAATCCTGTTGTTGTGTAAAAGTAAGATCGATGACTTTGTTCTGATGTCAATAAGTCTGGTGTAGTTATATACATTACTACTTGTTTCACAGGTGTTGAATAGTAAGATCTGGAGGAAGCTATTGGATGATGTTCAATCGCATTGATTTCATCCGGTTTCAAAGTGTTAGCTATTGTTGCTGTGCTTGTATCAAAAGAGTTTTGGGTAATCCTGGAGAATTTTTTTGATTTATGTGCGCTGTTTAAGGTCTTCAATATGTTATATCAAGTTGATAATATGAGATTTCCACAATTTTTTCAGATGTTCCAACTGATTCTTCTGTTGATACTATTTGTTATTATAGTATCTGTATTAGTGTGAGTAGTGACTACTCACACGACTACCCAGTAGTCTCAACGGAGAACCTATGTGATCTACATCTTTGTCTATATTTATTTTGATTTTTCGATCTTTTTCACTCAAAGATATATCCTGCTTTCCCAGATCGATTTTAAATTTCTGTTTATTCATATAATCCATTCCTAATATACAATGTGTGCATGAGTTCTTCTCGATGAATGCTTTTATTGTTGTTAATATATTGTCCATCTTGAGGATTAATTCCATTTCACTCAATACTGAGAATGGTATACATCCATCCTGCCATAGCTACGTGTCGGTGTAAATATTTGATGCATGGTATTATGTATAGCGTTTTCGGTGATAAATGTTCAACTTGCTCCGGTGTCTATCATTACTTTCATTTTTTTGTTGTTAACTAATATAGTAATGAAAATTAATGGGAATTTTGATGGGTTTTTGTATGTGCTTCCGGGGACGACACCATCTTTTGATGACCCCGTTATTCGAAAGGAAACCGGTACTGTCCCATACGTAATGTCCTGAAGTACCGCATTTATAACAAATATCTCGAGGTTGTTGCAGCGTATAATTAGAGGATTATTGTAGTTGTTGAGCTTGTTGATTATTAGATAACATTGTATGATTTTGATGCTATGATGATTGTGTCTGATGATTCTTCTGTTGTGTTTTCGATCGATATTTTGAAGATGCCCATGATTTTGATTAATAAATAATATTGAGTATGTTATTGTATTTGTTGACGTTGTAGAATGGCTTTTCCAGGTAAGACATATTGACTGTTGATGTTTGATTGAATATAGTCTCGTTGATTGCTAGGGAAATCAAATTTTCCACATTTTTCGTATATGGCAAAAGTGATTCTGGAGTATGCGAATCTTCCAACAAAACTTGTAGTTTCAAGGATTCTTTTAATTCAGATTTTAACAAGGCAATCTTCATTGAGATTAGTCATTGTGGAGTATCCTGTTTCTTTGTGTATGACGATGAGCTTTGTATCACACTGATCTAAGAATAATGCACAAAATGTTTCAAAATTTGCTATTATTGGTTTGTTCCATGCAAATCACAAATAAGCTGGATTTGTTAATATCATCGATAAACTTTCCACCTTTTGTTTTAGAATGAGTTTTAACTTTGCAAATGTATCCATAACTTGTAATAGCCACGGTTCTAGAGCTTCTTCATTTAAGTTTTTTTATGACATTTTGTTAAAAACAATTTCTAAATCCTCTTTATTATCTTTATTATCCTCTTTTAGATGACTATAATGAGTATTTGAGCTACCTTGTGCATATTGTTTTCATTTTTTAGTAAACAGATGCCAAGCGTTATGTATTTCATCTTTTATTTGCTCGTAGCAGAAAAAATTGCGAAGTTCAAGATATTCGGCGGCTTTGGTTACCGAGAGTAATTTTGGATATTATAATTCTTGAAACATTATTTAGACGGTAAAAAATATTGATTAAAATCTTTCAAGTGCTCATTATCTAATTTTTTGAATGTTGGTAGTTCTTATTGTACAGGTTCTGCTCGTTGTCGGTCTATATCTCTTAATTTCTGTAGTCATTGATGTCGTTGTTGTACTCGTTCTTCAAGTTGTTGCTGATTTTGATTAACTGTAATATCATCTATCATTGTTAATTGAAATGCCGTGGCGATATGTGATTGTAACTTGTGAATAGTTGTTACTCGTAATCGTAATGGCGAATGAATTCTTAATTGATGACTATTATTAGGCATCTTTCTTGTTTCCGTTGTGGAGAATAGCATTGAAAATCAAAAAGTGAAAGGAATTTTAAGTCCAAGTTTGATCATGTATTGATGTTCATATATTTGCTAACTATCTGTGCAATAGCTACAGGAAAAGTCCTACCGATAAAATTCTTCCATTTTAATGTGCTTTTAATAATTGGCGTAACGTTCGGTAATTGGATGTTTTACTGACAGTCAAATAACTTTCAATTTTTACTGAAATTAGAAAGTGTTTTCTTACCTCGGCTTTCTGCGCACTACTACAGAGTGTCCCAAAAAAACTTACATCTTCTGTATTTATTGGCTTTCTTGTGAACAAATATAATTGATCTTTTTACCATTCGTTTAATCGAGTAGAGCAAAGATTTCTGGACAAAATGAGACGTCTCCGAACTCTTTAAGAGCTTTTCTCATAAAATACCAGTCAATTTATCGAAGGCCTCATACCACCAAAATCACCGGGAAAACAAGAAAGATACGCTCTTAGGATCTTCCGTAAACTGAATGCTATTTCATGAGCAAAGCTCTTAGAGAGCTCGGAGACGTCTCATTTTGTCCAGAAATCTTTGCTCTACTTGATTAAACTAATGGTAAAAAGATCAATTATATTTGTTCACAAGAAAGCCAATAAATACAGAGCTTTTCTTTGGAACATCCTGTAACAGACTCATACTGAATGTACATATTCTGACAGTTTGCTTGGATTAGAAGACTGTTCACCTGGCTGTCGAACACATAATACCAAGTCATTGAGATCAGATGAATTCTTAATTGTGTTAGCGCTGTTTAATTATTAAGGTGTTGAGCAGTTTATTTAGATATACAAAAATTAACAGTTACCGCTGTCACCATTTGTTATACACTCCTCCTTAGGCAACGTGTTACATTTTGAATAACGATCATAGATTTTATTTTAAATGAATGAAATATAAGAAGTAAGAGTATAAAGTGACTAGTACATGTGATAACAACAATGACTACTACTGCTACCGCACCAGCTTAAAAGTGTTGTACATATATGTAACTTCGCAAACACTTTCGTGTAGTCTAAGTTTTGGAAAATAAATTTTCTGTGTTGTGTATAAATGCTGGAGATGTTTGTTTTTATTGAACTGTAGGTGTTTCTTCCGTGCATGTTTCTGTGGTTCTATTCGAATGTCACATATTCCGCTATATATGTGTATCGGTAATGAAAGGGCGTATCGTAACATCATTATCTGTTCGTGTTTGTTATCAGTCATTTCAGGTAATTTGTTTCTTCTTTTTATAATTTCCATTCTCTTTTTGTAAGCACCCCAGAGCTTCACAAATAAAACGGAGCCCCCCTCCCTCCCGAAAAAAGAATGTCCTGGTTGACTATTTACATTCATTATTCATCCATTCGAGAATACCTGATGATTTTTTTTTCTTCTCATTCTGAAAACGAATAGGTCAATGTCATCATTATAATATTATCAAACTTTTGTCATCTACATATTTCATTTCTTTATACATGTCAATGCAGAAAAAAATTACGGTAAACAAGAACAAGAAACAGGAGAAAGAAAATGATTGTTAAATATTATTTGACAGTGTAGTAATTGATTCAAATAAAATTATTATCCTAAATATGCTTATTGTATATTTTCTTATTCATTGTGTAATCGCATTTGATCCGGATACAACTGACTATGATGCTTATGGGCTTAAAGTGGCCAGTAATGATCAGTTAATTGTTGAAGCAGTCATTTCACAATCAAATTTTTTTATTCGGCTGGCACCGTACAATTCTTCATTGACATGTACAGTTGCATATCCTGTGTCATCATCTTCATTATCATCATCAAATTATGTTTATAGTGTGGCTGTCGGCAAGAACCAAGCGTCGATCAGTTTTACTTTTATTGGTGAAAATTTTGATACAGTTAATGGCACAACATCATTATTCATCGGAATGTTAACATACACAGGAGTCAGTCCGACAAATTATTTGGCAACTAAATCAAAAAAACAGATTTTTCCATGTACAGGATGGAAGGATAATTATTATATACATTATTTTCCGGAATTTGAGCATGAAGAATTTTATATAGTTGGTATTGATCCACAAGGAGTAGTTGCATATGGTTTAGGAAATGAAATTATCATCATTTATAATACACAGACTGATCAATATCAAACGCTATGGGGTAATGTGACCTGGTCGGATACGACATTCATGCCGCGTGCCGTTGATGTTAGTTTGAACGGTTATTTAGTTGTCTCAGGATACGTCGATAATGGTGATGATACATTCTCAGCATGTGCCTATTTGATTGACTTAAGCAATTTTACAATTGTGGATAGATGGTTTTACACGCCCATAAACAACACATGGCAGTCAACATTGACAAATTGGGATGCCGGTGGTACTTATTCATCCAAATATGACATATCTGTTAGCATTAATGATGAAAATAATCAAGTACTAATTGGTATACCGTCTGTGAATACAGTTATTTTACTTTTTATATCCACTAGTCCACTACAATTTGTATATGGTGCAATGCATTCTAACGGAAAAACTCTTGGTTATGGTAAAGCTGTTCAATGGTTAGGTACAGATATTGTCGCTATTCTAGTGAATACATATTCTCTCAATAATATATGGTCATCATCACAAATCTACCTATATGAATTAGGAAATAATACAACAACTAATTTCTTGACTACACTACAATCAATACTTCCCAACATTCAACAAACTATTGCAGCAACAATTGGTCCTATGCTTTTGACACTTGTATCTACTCAAAATGGAAAACTAATTGTTTTAGATTCGTCCGGAAATATTTACATCATTCTTCCATCACAACCGGGTTTCTACTCAGATATATCAACAGGTTATATATCTACACAGACTCCCTGTATTGGTGGCACATACAAAAGTCAAACTGGTATTGGCCCTTGTCATCTTTGTTCTTCTGGTACAAAAACATCGCTTCAAACTGGTAGCATTACATGCGTTGCCTGTTCAGTTGATTCGTTTTGTCCGTTGGGATCTGTACAAGATGTCAGTTATTCAGCTTTGGAAACAACTTCTCAAGCTATACCATACCCAATGTCACCAAACAGTGTAAGATTCGACAATATTTTGATGAGTAATATGTTTATTATTGATTCATCTCGACAGTGTATCGTGATATCGCCCATCTTCTGGGCCTTAATTACGATCCTTATCGGTATAAATATATTGATTGTAATGATTGTATTGAAATATTTTGTTTCAACGCCGCGTGGGAAAAACATTCGAAACCGGATAAAAACATTTTTTCGACAAACTGATCTAGTTGGAGAGGGAGAGATGTGGGTAGGAGGAATTGCTTCATTTGCTATTATTGTACTTGTTTCATTTGCCTATGCATTTTCGAACTCCTTCTATACACAATATCCAATTGAATTAGTCAACGGTTCACCATTCGCATGTGATCCAGAATTGCGCAATGCTCAGTTTGATTCTGGGTTAATGCCACTTGGTATCGCACCTAACGAAGATGAAGAGCAGATGTTTGTATTGTTGAACGAACAGCAGTTCACTATTCATATCGATTTTATAAATACCTTGTTTCGTTGTGATGATGTTAGTATTCTACAAGTGAAAGATACATCAATACCCCTTGACATGTTAGATTGTCAAGTACAAAATGATAATGCTACATTATCGTTAAGCGCCTTACTTCCATCTCAAGGTATAAATATTCAGTTTATTCTTACTGGAACAAATACAATCGGTGGTTTTCGGGTCGGCTTGCTTGGTTCTGCAGCGTTCGAATCAAATGAGACGAAACGTGCAACATACACACTTTTAGCATTAGAATTTTATCAATCATTTTATGTTGAAAACCATTTATTGGCTCAAAATCCCGCGATAACTATACAGTTGACGAAAGTAATAAATCGTACAGAAGCATTATCGACTGACAGAGATCTAACATTGTTTAGCGGATTGTGGATACCGTATTTTCCGATAAACGTCAATCAATTATTCATTGATGAAGCCGAATACAAATATTCTACGAGTTCTGTAACAACACTATCGATTGTAATCAACGAAACGCCGTACTATAATATAAATATGCAAAAACCTATAGCAGACGAAGCCGAGATAATATTTAGTAACTTATTATTTACGATTGTCTGTCTAGAGATCTTTGGATTAGGATTTTTAATATTTAAATTGTTAGTGCTGCCATTGTTTGATCGAATATTTTGTCGTACTAGACGTAATAACCGAAAGAGAAGTTCAGAACACTCCATAGATAATATCACTCGATATTAAGAATAAATTCTGCACAATATTTTACATGCTTTATACTACGTTTATTACGTATTATTATGTTATACAATCGAATGAGATATTAATTAGTCAGTTATGTTAAGTTTATTTTTAAAGAAGATTATACCATAAAATACTTTTCCTCTTCCTGTTTTATGCTCTTAGTTACTGATGTATGTGCTTTACTGGCCTCATTAAAACGTTTCGATAAACGCATGAATCGACAGATAAAATTGCTCGTAAGCGAAAACAGTCACGCGAACAAGATGCACTTTTTTTGACAAAGAAATGTTGTACATTTTATCCTTTTTAAACTTTAACTCTCATCTCTCTGGTCCAATGGTACTGAAATCGGGTTACTCTATTGCATCTGTGTCCAAAGATACCGAGACGATGAGTATTAGATAGCTTGTCCAAGGCTATCGCGCGACCGCCGTTGCCGGGATTCGAATTCCTTATGTTTGAAGTACATTGTCTGCTCACCAGCCGACTGAATCACGCTGCTCTGTGTCGCACATCTCTCTACGTATGCAGAGGTGGTGAGGCAGCATACTCAAAAACCTATGATGAACTATTATTATATTTCTTTTAGCATAAAGAGATAATTGATAAAACTCATTTTTCATTTCGTAAACTTACTCCACATTATTCTTAAAATCTCTTTTTGCGAGTACTGCATTTCATACTTCTAAGATATCGCCGTCATTTTTCGAGCTAGACATTTCGGGTTAGTTTCAAAAATAAAGAAACGCTTTTTCTGACGTTGTTGGATTTTTCAGTTTAAGTGCAGTTTAGAAGAAATTTAAAGAGTTTTTTTAAAAATTTCCGGAAGTTAAAGACTTTAAACTAGGAGACTATAAACAAAACTGTCGTCTTTAATAATGATGTAAATTTATTCCAAGTATAAAATATGACCATTTTTTTCCTTTCTTTACCGTTACTAAATAGACTACGTTGAAGTAATTGTGCACTGTTTGGTAGCTGAGTGATATGGTAAACTATCTTGTGATTTTGTATATGCACTAAGAATCATTAACAATATGCTTTTAAATAATATATTTATTTGAAAATACAACTGGAATACAGTTTGCTATAGAGCTGTTGACTCTCCTCCAAAAGACTACGCATGTGACTACAGTGACTAGATAGTGAGGTGATTCGCCACCTAACATGCACCACAAAAGTTTGTCATATTTCTGTTGCGATACGATCAATTTTCAGAAAAGCGATATTTAAAAAATTCTTTCATCGTAATGGTATACGAAAGTATTCTTAACCCTCTACGGCCGGATGTTGACTACCGGTAACATTGCAAGACTGTTTTATGAAGAACTCTTTCAAACTAGTGTTGAATATCGATCTCATATCGTGATAATTAAGGAAACATATTGCGCAATTTATTCATCTTTCATTAGAGATCATTATGTATTGCTTTCTCAAAATGGCCTGGAAAAAACTAAACAGCTTGAAAAATCAGTATAATCGTAATTATCGTTTTTCGGCATATGGATTAAACTCCGTGTGCAAGTCACCTACTCCGAAACTTTCTTTGATAGGTTATCGATATGCCTCACTATTAACAACAGCGTTGCAGTAATATATAATACAAAAAAAACGAGAAGGTTACCTTTAGGTAACATCCGACCATAGGGATACAAAAATTTAAAAAAGGTCAGCTTTTTTACGTCTATCAGAGTTTGATATTTCATGGTTTTTTGAAATCCATATGTTGATACTAGACGCCAGTTTATCTTCTTGTCCGTCTTCTGCAAGTAAGAGTTGAGATATCTCTAAAATATTCTCAAATTTTGCGAAATAATGCAAAAATAGTCAGTTTTTGTCCGGA